ACAATTCGAGTGTCCTGTCTTGTTTCATTCGTACCTGTATTTTCGCTGTTCTCTATACTCTTATGATCAAAGTCATTGTGTATGTCGAAGCTAGTGTTGTTCTGTTCGGAGCCCGGTGCGTTTTTAGGTGGAACACATCGGTCTTCGATACAGATTGGGGTTGTAACGTCATTTAGGTTTTCTAGTAGATTGTTGGGCTCTAACCAATTTTCTCGAACTATGTTTGGGTGAGTTGAGTCGCTAGTTGTTCTTTGGTCAAGAATATCAGAGCTAGGGCTAACTTGGTGAGGTGATGATGTAATTGGTGGTGACAGTTCGAGTAAATGGTTATTGCTTTTTGTTCTAACTAGGTCTAATGGTGTACTTTGTGTCATGAATAAATTTCGAGAAGTGTCGAGGTCGTCTACTAGTCTATATTCATTTACTTTAATGCCAGTTGATTCATTTACTGAATTATCAGAGCTGAGTATAAGAGGTAAAGGGACTAGTGGGCGGTCGTCGGAATGTGTGTGGTGACCCGTGGACTGGACTAAGATCCGCGGGGTTTGGGGCCGTTTCCCGAGGGCTTTGTAGGACATTCACTGTTCCAGTGAGGTCCCTTGCAATGCTTACAGGGGAGAGGTGGCTTTCGGTTTGTGTTGTTTACCGAGTGGGCCCCAGAGTGTTTTGCTAAGTCAACTGGTTTTGACTTAGTAGGTGGGTAATAGGACTTCTTCAAGTCCCTCGGCGGTGCTGCGTCTTGGGTCTCTTGTATGGAGTACGAAGAGCTATCTAAGACTGCAGCTATTCGCCTAAGGTCTGTGAACGACGCGGGGTGTTGGAGCCTAGCATGTATTCTAAATTCGTCTCTCATGAGCCCTACAATAGTACTAACTATTTGCGGTTCGGAGAGACCTGTTTGAATTCGACGGGATAATTGGTTTTTCTCCATGACAAAATCGGTCAGTCGTTGGTGTGGACCTTGTCGAACTGACACAATTTCGGCACGGAGACGGGACTGGATGTCAGGGCAGTTGAACCTTTCGGCTAACTCGCCTTTAAATTCAGGCCAAGACATATCTAGAGCCTTAACCGTTCTCCACCATGCAGCTGCCGTTCCCGTTAATTGGGGTTCGACTGCTCTAACCCATGCGGCTGGATGTATTTTTGCTTCACGCAAAATACATTCGGAATTTGCCACAAATCGTGTCGGGTCCTCCTCTTTTGTACCAGAAAACTCAGAAAGTGACGCTCTTGCAGCTTTTAGGTCATTAAATGGGATAAGTAATGATTGGTTCCCTACCCTAGTGCTAGACGAATCGTTAAAATCGTTTTCGAACTGTACGGTACGGTTGGGTCGACTCGTAGGGCGACTATCATTTTCCGTATGTCGTACAGAGTAGCTATAGGGTTGTGAGTCATACAAACGATTATTGACTGTATTAGAATTTAGGTCCCAGCTTGTACTATTTAGAGGGGCCTGTGCTGTCCCTTTGCTCCCTAACTGGTGTAATGAGGTCGTATCGTATAAAGTCAGCTGGGGACTAACCGTTCGCCTGATCTCCTCTTCGGTTTGTAATAACCTATCATGGAGTGAGGCGGGCTGACTATCGATACGAGTTCTACTTACGTTCAAATTAGCGGTGGGAGTGGCCCTATCTTCTACCGTTACAGTAGGTACTACTGGCCTAAAACTACTACAGTTTGTTGACCTAACCGTTTGGACGTCCTGTTCAATACTTGAAATTTTATTTAAAATGTTTTTTTGATTAGTTAAGACCCGTGACAAAGCGGTTTCAAGAGCGGTTATCCTTAGTTCCAGATTCCCTATAGAAGTTTGCGTCCGAATGTTTTGCCTAATTGCTCCTATCTCTTCACTAGCTGAGCGTATGTAGTGAATTGTGTGAAGGTCAGGGAATTGGTCATTCGGCGCGCTAGCTCGGTATGTGTTTGTGGGAGTGAGTGGGCGGCGGGAGTCCTCATATTCGAGGTCGCCGTAGGTTAGGTCTAGTGGGTCCTGTTGGACATCACTATTCCTATTGTCTTCTACATTGTGTACCTGTTGCGCTTCTAACTCGCCTATCGGTCTCGGGTTGACAGAACTATTAATATTATTTAAAGCATTATCAACAATCGGGGGCCGAGGTGGTAGAAGGGTGGTGGACGGATCACAGCCTCCGTCCCTAATCACATTCTCTAGTACACACTGTAGGTCGTTACGGCTAGCGGTATACGGCAGGTTTCGGTAAGCGCATTCGCGTCTGATTTCGGTAACCGACATTTGATCTAATGTTTTCTCCATTTCCGATTTTTTTATTTTTTTTTTTTGACAAATGAAAATTTAAAAAAAAATGAATTAATTAAAATTAAAATTTTGATATATGTATGCGTTGTGTTGATGTTTTATTTGTTGTTAGTATAAACAACAGAAAGAGAGAAAAAAAAAAATTTTTTTATATATATATAATTAATTGATTTAAATATTATTTTACTGTAAAGCAAACTAAAAGAAAAGAAAAAAAAAAAAAATATAATATATTAAGAAAAAGAGGAGAAAAGAAAAAAAAACTGTAGGGGTGAGCGGGTATTGGCGATTCAAATATAATCCAGTATACAAATACCAATACAGTCACTACACGTCCGAAAAAAAAAAGTTAAATTTGTTTCCTATCTTTGACTTTTTTTTTTTTTAACTAATGACAAATAACCGGAACGTTTAAGAGAAAAACAAAAGAATTGTTATTACTTATTTTTTTTGTTCGTCATACGCTGCTTGAAAGTAGTAACCAAATAAGGTGTTGTTTGCTTATATAAATTTAAAAAAAAAATTATATAAACCTTATTTCTTCCTTCAATATTTTAATTTTCTTTCAACCGGTTTCACTTAAAAAAAAAGTAGTAACTATTCGCAAATATGCTTAATCGTCAATTTGGTACGTTTTTAACCGAAGTAATTAGCGTAAGTCAAATATCCGTTCGGCCGTGCGGGTTACTATTTAATAAATGGCCGGAGAAGGAAAAAAAAAAAAATAAATAAATATAAATTTATGTTATTTAGTGAAAATATTATGCGAAGAAAGTGAATTTATTTTCCAACAGTGATCGTTATTTGGTAACTTTCAACTTAATCGTATGGTGGACGGTACCGGGACGCGGGTGTGATATGCGTTACAATAACAATAACAAGGTGAACGTTACTAAAATCCTAACCTGTATATTGTACGCCGGTACTAGCACGTCACGTGTGTGGCCTAACTAGGTATATATTTGTTGTAAATACTACACTAGTAGGATGGAAAAAAAAACAAAAATTTACACGAATAAATATTTTGACAATTTAAGTAAATTAAATATTATTTAAATCGAGTGTAAAATTTTTTCTCAGTAAAACAGCGGCCAAAATAATCCTACCTGGTTTCGCTGAACACCGGGACTTTTTCCTCAGCGGGGAGCCAAATTTGACACGGTAGTAAGGGGGGGTTGAAGAAAATAGATAAAACCGGATTAAAAGTTGTGGTTTTTTTATTAACTTTGAAAACAATATGGAAGTATATTAAGTGAATACGCGGGACGGCGGCGGATGGCAGTCGCGGATCAATGTTAAATTAATAACTGATTATCGGATTGCCTACAGTGGTCATCGCCGCCGTGTTTCGCTGTCAAGATGACACCCCCCGGACCTCTTCATACACCGACGGCCGGCTCGGGCCGATATAGTAGTTTATCGTTCCCACCTGCGGTGAGACGGTGGACAGTTGATAACACGACCGGGCGCACATTTAATCGCTAATAACGGAAACATGCACTTGCAGGCCGTGTCAACTTCACACTAATTAACCAATGCGGTTTTCATATTTTCAGTCTGACCATCCTCGTCAGACGTGTCCATCTTCCAGTGCGCTCCTGTTCCCAGAACGTTTGCCATGTTCCTGTTTTCTTGTGGATAGGGTCAAGTCTCGATCGTCAGGCTTGTAGAGTATCCTTAGATTATTTTCGTCTAGTCCCCAATTCATACCGAACATTCCTTTAGTTTTGAAAATAAATTTTCCCATCGGTGTTTTTATGACAGCGATAAAACCAATTGTAACATCATTTACTACACAGTGCAGCTTGCCATAGAACATAAACTTGTGTACATTAATTGTTATGTATGGCGACAACGTCAACAGTATAATGAAAATATTTTTAGACACATGTTAATTTTTAGTTTAATTGTAGTTTTCTTTTCAAAAAATGTTTTATATATTTAATAGGTAGTGAAATATCAACGGCTCTTAGAGACACCATTGGAACATTTTTATAGTCATATTTTTCAACATAAATTTATCAATATTTTTAAAAATGTTATCTTTTGAGGTCTGGATAACCGTCAATATATATATTTTTTTCAAATCAACCTCTATATAAGTTAAACAATTTTCTTTATGCTGATAATTTTGATGCGAATCACTTTTCCTCTAGAGTATTTTCTACCACTAAAAATATAAAAAAATTAATGAATTTCATTTTTTTATAAAAGCACCACTAGCGATCCCTAGAAATTCTTTTAAAAACCTTAAAAAAGATAGGAAATTTGTTTTTTATCCTGAATACCACACCTTCATAAGAAGAACAAAAAAAAATTGGTTTGTTTCACGATAATGATTTAGATTTAAGGTCGCTTACAATATAAACTAACAAGATATAACATATATTCTTCATTTTTTTTGAACTAGTAGGTAAATTATAATTTTTTACTGAGGAAATTGATAATAATATGTGATTTTTTTGTTTATTAACTACAGCAAAAAGACAAACTTATTTTATATTTTATTAAAATTAAGAATTTATTCATAATACCTTTTAGATGTAATGCTGCTATATATATATTTCAAAAATATACTGAATTAGATAATAATAAAATAAATTGTCAATATAACCATTGATTTACTCTGTAACGTCCAGAAGCTAATTTATTATCATCTTCATCAACCACGATCAATCGTCTAAAATTTTGTTTAAACTAAATTTTTGTCTTAAAGATGGCCCAAATAACGGACCTGGAAGTCAAATGGAAGATCCAAATGAACTGGTGCTCGCAAACGGATTCGGTTCAGCTATATTGGCTAATTCAGCGACCAAGCAAAGGTTGCTTTCAAGACTATCCAGATTCGATCTTATGTTAGGAGTTGTACGAGCCGAGTCTTTCTTTGCCTTTACCGGCGACGACGTCCAATACGGTATCGAGGCTGATCGTCGAACTAAAATCTTGAAGACTTATGTGAAAAACACATACAAGTACGTAATGAACGACAACATAATGTAAAAGTTAACAATTCAAATAAAAATTTCATACCGTTGTCAATCCTATTAATTTAAACATTGACTATTAATTAATAATTCTGTATTTAATCAGTTTTACCAATTAATAGCAAAAAAAAAAATAATGCATTTTTATTTTAACAGCTAATTAATAAAAAAATATTTATTTATTTATTCTATTTCAGATACCACTTAACTGAGATATTAGCAACAATAGTTAACGAATATACAGACTGGGACAGGCCAGTACAACATCCGGTCAACATCAGAGATGAGACTCTCGAAGCTTTGTCTGATGCCCAAGTAGTTGCACCTGTGGTCAATACAGCTGATCTTCATTCAGCAAATAGAAGAAACTCTTACTTATTTGTGTTTGACTATCAAACCAAGTACGGCGATTACCAACAAGTAAGTTTTACGATTTTCTAATAGACTGTTAAGTTATAATTGATTTAAAGGGATTTTTGATAAATATTTTTTTCGTATTATTCCAAATCATTAGAACAAAACAACACATTTAGCATTAAAACTATTATTTTTAATTATTAAAAATACCTGTTATAATACGTTTTTAAAATAGGTAATATTAAAAAAATAAATATATACTAGATAATATGCATTGTGTTTTACACAATTTCTTAATGAGTGTAAAAAAGTTTTTTTTAGCTTAACCAAAGTTTAAGAAAATCTGTTTTAGTTGATTAGTTTTTTCTTCATGTCATTCGCTTATTCTTTCGACAAACTTAGCAGTTTACGCTTTATATTCTTTGTGTTATTCGGTGATTTATTATAATTTAACTCAGGCTTTGTGTTTTTAAAACTATTGGAACGGTATAAAACTATAGGTTTTCATAAAAAAAAAAAAAAAAAACGTTTCTCTTCACAAAAAGTCGCTACCTACTTTATATCTTAGTTTATTCAATAACACAGAATATAAATAAAATAAAATATTAGGTCAACTCTAAGTCGCCGTTGGTATTAATATTAAATTGAAAAATTATTTAAACAAAACTTTTTTTTACAATTTTAATTCTTATAAAATCGTTTGGTACAAAAAACAAACATAACGCACAATACATATTCTACCAGACTATAATGTATAATTGTATGATAATATTATATAAATTATAATTATTATTTTCGAATGTTATATCATATTTCGAATTCGTGAAATATTTTTTTTTTGTAAACTATTAAAAATTTGTTATAAAATATAGTTTAGCCGTTTTTACGATTAAATAGACCGTTTTCCGGGTACCGCGTTGATGTAATTTGATCATGATAAATTTATGGAATACAAGAAAGCGGCAAAACCCATGAACCGTAACATTTCATAACAAGATATAACATTTCAATGTACGATCAATTGAATAAGCTCTATTACCAATAAGTATAGGATTTTCGCCGGGGAACGACGGACATAATATGATTTCTATAGAAAATAATGCAGCTCACACCGTTATTATAGTCGAGCTGTTTCGTCGATACCACCATATGGGTTTGTATATTGTGTTGTAGTTAAGTCTCTTCGAATCGTAAACACAACGGCGTTTTTGTGACCGGCCGATTGGAAAATCACATTTTCTCGTCGGTCAACATAACCGTAACTATATAGGAAAATAACATTTGGTCGATTTTACTCCACTCGCTTTAAACATGTTTGTCGCTTTCCAATTTATTCGGGATTAAAAGCGCTTAGTGAAAAAAAAAAAAAAAATGCTCAATTCGTATTAAAATATTTATTTCAATGGCCAAATAATACTCGTTAAATTCGCCCATACACTATGAATATCCGTTCATAACACAACCTTCTCCGGTCCGTCGTGGTTTCACGGTTGTGAAGCATCCGTGTAAACCATAAATATTATCGGTATCTGTTCCCTATGGACCTCTGCCAACCACCAAAAAAAATATGGGTAAGGTGACTTTTTGGACTCAATTCGATTAAAAAAGAACCAGCTGGTCGAAGTGCCCACATTTTCAGCCTACTCTCCCATTTGCTCCCGGAACGTGAAGTGATATTCCTAGTGGGATAAAGCCTATTTAACAGGTGACAATTGTAAATTTCACTTGTGTAAACTTGTCAGTCGAGCACATACGGTAGGTAATGAATAAATCCGGCAGTGTAGTAAAGAAAAATAATCTATAGTGCGATGAACTCTTTTCTGGACTTCTGATTTATAGCGTGGGCTGACCTAAGCCCATCAATTCTTTTGAAAAAGTCTCAATACACGTGTACAGTACGTATTTCAATTAAACCTTTTTTTTTTTATCACGGGTTAACTATATACGATAAACGACTGTATTTTTATTCTCTCTACTATGGCTTACCCTTTCAAGATTGGTATTAAAATAATAAATCGAGAAAAAAAATCAGAACTTTTTTTAGCAAGTTATTAAATTGTCAGTTTTATCCGGTACAAAGTTTAACCAGAAGACGATTTAATCGACCATTTAGAACATTACAAACGTTTCGGTGGATTATTTGCAGTATTTGTCAAAAGGATTCTATGGTAAAATAAAAATAATTACACAACGTTAATTGCGTTTTAATACTGAATGGTCAGACTGACACCGAACAGCGACAGAGATGTGTACTTTCAATTCATTTAAAATATGTTTTGATCAAAATTCTATATTATAACCGCCGTAAGGAAATTACTTGTTTACAGTAAACAGTAGGTAAAGATTTTTTTTAAAGGATCAAAGACCGAGACAATAAATGAAAGTAGTATATTTTGAATCGTTGTTAAAAAAAAACAAGTAAACAACTACGTCTTAATATCGAAATCCATTATATTTCGCAATCGACTGTATAAAAATTACCTTTATTTACGTTGGTAGGTAATTTTTGTTTATTTTGTCAATCGGACCGACTGCCAAACAGTTGAAAATAATATATCACTTGGAAAAATGACCAAAAAAGAATTTGCACGTCAATTATTATTAGCTTCGGTGTTGTTTTTACCCCCACAATAGCATTTTAACGTATTTCGCCGGCTTAACGGTATTGAGATGCTGAAATTGCCGGTCGACAATGAGATTTCGCCGTTTCAATCATACCGGCCGCCTATGCAATAAACCGGGTGTTAGAATGACAGCGAACGGGAAGAGAGAGAAAAATGTTCGAACGCGCAGTTATTATTGCCTATGCCCCCCTGACGACTTTTCCCCAGCAATTACGGTGTCCGCGAGAAAATGATGAAGGACCGGCCGTGGAATGAAAGAACTCTGTCGTTTCAACTTCGAATCGCTTAATTTCTTTTTTTCTTCCCCCCTCGGCCTAGCAGCTCACCTAAGGAAATCTAACACACTCTGTCAGCGCGGGCATAATGAATGGTGCTCCGGTCTCTAAACGGGCGAATAATGAATCTTTTTTCTCGACTAGCCATCTCGAGTGCTTTGGACGTGTAATCTCAAAGTACACACACTCGCGTTTATCTACCAATGTTACTGGGCACGTGTACGTTTTCAAGCGAACTTTTGTCCAAGGGAAAGTACTGAAATTGTTGTGTGTAACATGTTTTTTTTTTTTTACCGAGCGTGATACAAAAAAAAAAAAAAAACCAGTACAGTGAGATCGGGGCATAGTGGGGACGCGGAACATAGTGGAGACGGGTAGGTGGTCATCGGTTCCCAGGAATTATATTATACCTGAAAGTGATAAAATAATTTTCAAATAAACGCTTCGATGCGATACTATGGATAGTAAGTCCAAATCAAGCACAGTATAAAAACCAGCATTTGAAAGTGATTTTATCACTTTGAGTTATATTCATTTCTGTAGACCTGTAACCTACCCCTCCCCACTATGCTCCGTTCCCAATATTCTCCGACTACACTGTACTGGCTTATTATTATTTAAACAGCTCTAAATTAAAAAAATATATTTTTAAACATACATTTGACAGTTAAAAAATATGGTCTAAATAAATGAAGAGTGAAAGTGTCAAACGTTCCAAGTGCCAAAGTATAAAAATTGAACTTTATAATTTGATTTGTATTTTATTCATTACCGGAAACACTTTAACATATTTTTGAGTTTTAAATATGATTGTTTTTTTTATAAATAACTATTCTTTACTTGAAAAATTTACAAAATTGTTTCCGGTAATGAATAAAATACAAATAAAATTATAAAGTACAATTTTTATACTTTGGCACTTGGAACGTTTGACACTTTTACTCTTCAAATACACCTACATCGACAAATGCTCGTTTTTTTTGTAGTGTTATAAATACAATTCAAAATTTGGACTCGTTAATGATATTATCTTCAGTCGCAACATTTCATATCGTAATACATTTTGACCGTTTAAATTATTTTCAAAACTAAAATATGGCGGGCTCCAAATTACTGACGGACATTGTATTGGGTTTGATGTTGTTCGTTTACACTTCGGTGCAGTCATTGGAAACCGGATACGAATATACGAATAAACATATTGAAAATGATGAACTCCATAAGGATTTAAAATGCGGATACCTGTTTGGTGGGTATACCGTCATGCGCCTATTTAAGCTTTTACTCCAACCACCTTATAATACATCATTGAAAAGGTTTCTCTGACCCATCAGTAGTATCACCAGTGTAGTGAGATTGCAGATAGTTTCGTTGTTAGGATTGAATGGAATACGTATTTGCACCATGTGGCTACTATATTTGTTCAAGGGTTCGATAGCCAGTCTTTACAAGAAATGAAAAAATTCAACGGAAGACAATCAGAAAATTTGTGAAACTCTTGTCTATGTCATCGATAAACTGGAAGCGGAGTGGAACAATGTGGTACTATGTTAATGTTGTCCGGTGATTTAAATGTTGCTGGACATAGTCAAAAATCGTATCGACGACACACAGGTATTATTCAGTGTGGTCAGCGTTTTAGTTACAATACTGGTTACGCTTTGTAAGCCTTTCGGATGCGACGCTGGCAATCAATTCGCTATAGACAATCAAGAATTTAAAATACAATATACAGGCCTGACCGGAGAAGAAATACAATATCTGAAAAAAACGACCAGTGCTGTGTGGGTCGACAACGTTTCGAAAACTTTCTTGTCTCATCTGAAATTAGCTTTCGGTTTAGTCGACTTTAGCGTCATTCGGTTACTTACAGAGTATATCGATGAACTCAATTCGACAAAAGGTATTGTGGGGTCGGAGGAATTTACTGAGGAGTTGGAAAATCTACATCTCAATATGTCAGATACAATTAATAACAATCGAATATTTTCAATGTAACACAAAATTTTGTCTATTATAAAATGTCCAAAAACAAACTGTCAATAATCAATGTGTAAAAATAAACAATCATTTTGAAGTTTTTTAGCATATTTTCTTTTAATTTTATATTTTGTTCATTTAGAAATGTAGTCTATCACTTAAAATGTAAGTTTCTATCACTATC